TACTTCATAGTATGGTGATAGTTGCTTCTGGAAAAACAGAAGGGCAAGTGAGTGCCTGCAAAAGCGGAGAGGAGACAAAGTGCCTGATCTGCTTTATCACAACCCACTCTCCAGAGAAATAAACCCAGTCTTGTGAAAACTGTATTAATCCCTTTGTGAGGGACCCAAACACCTCCCACTAAGCCCTACCTCTGAACACTGCAGCAATGAGGGATTAAGGTTCCAACACATGAACTTCTGAGGGACACACTTAACTCATAGCAGGTAGTTATTTCCTAAGGATTAAGGCAGCTTCACAGACAGATGAAGAAGAACTTTTTCTTCTATTACCTAGTAATCGACCAGGAGACCTGTTCTTTGAAAGAGAAAATTCTTTGATTCCAGTACACATGGTAGGGGCGGGAATCCGTGAACTACAATGGGCTAATGACAGTGATGGCAGACCTAAATATTTTTTTTCCCTCCAAAGCTATCCCCACATCCCTTAAGAACTAGGCTTCCAAGCCTCACCTGTCTATGTCTCTTTGCAGTGGCAGTGACCCTGGACCCAGAAACAGCACATCCCAAACTCATCCTTTCTGACGACCAAAGATGTGTAAGGCTTGGAGACAGAAGGCAGCCTGTACCTGACAACCCCCAGAGATTTGATTTCGTCGTCAGCATCCTAGGCTCTGAGTACTTCACGACTGGCTGCCACTACTGGGAGGTGTATGTGGGAGATAAGACCAAATGGATTCTTGGGGTATGTAGTGAGTCAGTGAGCAGGAAGGGGAAGGTTATTGCCTCACCTGCCAATGGACACTGGCTTCTGCGACAGAGTCGTGGGAATGAGTATGAAGCTCTCACATCGCCGCAGACCTCCTTCCGCCTTAAAGAGCCTCCACGGTGTGTGGGGATTTTCCTGGACTATGAAGCAGGAGTCATCTCTTTCTATAATGTGACCGACAAGTCCCACATATTTACTTTCACCCACAGTTTCTCTGGCCCCCTTCGCCCTTTCTTTGAACCTTGCCTTCACGATGGAGGAAAAAACACGGCACCTCTAGTCATTTGTTCAGAACTACACAAATCAGAGGAATCAATTGTCCCCAAGCCAGAAGGGAAAGGCCATGCTAATGGAGATGTGTCCCTGAAGGTGAACTCTTCCTTACTACCCCTGAAGGGCCCAGAGCTGAAGGATATAATCCTGTCCTTGCCCTCTGACCTTGGCCCAGCCCTTCAGGGGCTCAAGGTTCCTTCTTTTTAGGGATATGCCACATTACCTGCCCCCATCACCATCCAGCCCAGCACCCTGGACTTCAGTCACCTGGTCCAACCCCACGATTCTGGAACGTCTCTTCTCCTTAACCCAATCCAGACCCTTTTGTGGTTTCTATTTGTACCACTTTTCTCCCAGAACTCAGTTCTGAAGCTTGCCTTTCTTCTAAGGAATTGAAGTTCCCAGTGACCTGAAGGGAGGATTCCTGGAAACCAATCAGTTTAGGTGTAGGTGGAGATGTTGAATATGTGTTACCAAGATATAGCACAGGTTCAGGGGAAAGAGTTCTCTTCTCCAGGGGTTATTTAGAAGACACTTTCTCTGCCTCATCCTGCCCTCAAGCTTTAGTCAAGAAGTTATGGCCCCCAGTCCCTGACTTCTTATCCCATCAAGGGCTGCTTTTCTCTCTTTCTCTCTCTCAGTTCTGGCCTCTGGCCCCCAAAGTCAGCTTTCTAAAAGCAAGCATGTTTTAGACCACTCACTCTTTCCCTCTTTCTTCAGGAATGAGTTGGGGGAGGAGTAAAACACATCCTTTTCTACTCTCTTAATGCTGTTTACAACGTAGTTTGGTGATATCCAGAGCTAATGTACATGCTTTCAAAAGCTAATCTGCCTGTTGATGATAACTAGGTACAGGGACTTTAAACACAGTTGCTATAATCCTGAAAAGCCTCAGGAGCAATCAGTTACTGGGAAGCACAGCTGCAGAGAGCTCAGCTGTGTATTGCCCTCTGACTTTGGCCCAGACCTTCAGAGGCTCAGTCTTTTGAGTCTGTTGTGACTGTCTTATGAATCAATCTGTTGTGCCAGCCCTTTCTGAGATTCAGAGAGGCCCAACTAGAAAAAGTGGCAGTTTTAACCACCAACGTAGAAGCTTTCTTTTTCCCCACAAGACCATTGTACTGGAATACTTGACTGTGTAGCAAACAGCCTCTTAGGTTGGAGAGTATTGACTTCAAATAGGAAGTTGGTAGACTAGGTGTGAGGATGGAATAATGACCTTGATTTTTGGGTGCATATTGCAGAAGCCTAGTCACTTTTAAGTCACACCACATAATGAGATCTGTGGCCTAATTGTGGAGATGTTGGTTATCAGTTTGCAGATGAATACAGAGTTCTATCCAACAGAAACTGTATCTTTCTGTTTGTCAGAAGTTCTCTGTTAGTTCCTGTATTAGTCAAGGTTTTCCAGAGAAACAGAATCAATATATATTGGGGCAGGGGGGCGGTGGTTATTATAAGGAATTGGCTCACATGATTATGGAGGTGGTTAAATCCCAAGATCTGCAGGGTAAGTCAGCAAGATGGAGTCCCATGAGAGCTGATGATTTAGTTCCAGTCTGATGGCAGCAGGCTTGACACCAAGGAAGAGCTGATGTTTAATTCAAGTCTGAAGGCAGGGAAAAAAAGCTGATGGCCCTGTCCAAAGGCTATTAAGCAGGAAGAATTCTCTTAGTCAGGGCAGAGTTAGCTCTTTTGTTCTATTCAGGCCTTTAACTGATTCCATGAGGCCCACCCACATTTGGGAGGACAGTCTGCATTACTCAGTCTACTGATTTGAATGTCAATATCATTGAGAAACACCCTCACAGGAACACTCAGAATAATGTTTGACCAAATAACTGGGCATCTTGTGACCCAGTTAAGTTGGTACATAAGATTAACTATCACAGTGACTCAGTGGAATTGTTTGCTTTTGTACAGTTTTAAAATAAAAGTTTGGTATTTGTGTTTTGGTATGCTGTTATTTTCATTGCGAATGAAGAGTTGTGGGGAAGGTAAGAGATTGGTTTTCAAAGAGCTTTGAGTCCTCCAAGGCAAGGTTTAGCCACCATTCACACTAAAGCCATAGTTTTATTCCCGAGTCTGCTCTCTAGTATTTTATTTTATCAATTTATAAACAAATAGTGTTCATCAGGTACACATATTTCACTCACCCACATTCAGTTCCAAACATGCATTCCTGAATATCCCAGTCTTTTTTTTTTTTTTTTTTTTTTTTTT